AGGAACTGGGATCTTGAGGCTACATTTATACAAGGTACAGTTTTCTTCAGAGAACTCTTCTTTACTCTGCAAAAAAATGAAAGTCACATTATATCGTTTGACTCAATACAACACCACGAATGTTACAGTATCTTCCAACACTTCAAAAAAATGTTAAAACACTCGTAGATGTGGATCCTACATCATCTATGTGCCTATCCATATGCCTTGCAGAAGCTGCATGAACTTCGGCTATCAGCTTATGAGCTACCTTAAGATGTTGTATTCGATCAGACCATGGTGCTTTCAGCTAAAATTTGTGCTCTTCATAGTTGAGATTCACACCCCTAATTCACTTACAGAACTTATACCTGGATGCATATGAAAAGGTAACTGTAAATAAATGTACCTACTATCATTTTCCTCAAGTTCACCCTCCACGATTGCTAAATAAAGTGGTATCAATATCTTGAAAGGTAGTCTTCTTAAATGAAAGGTCTAGCTAGACAAGTGAAAGGGGCACAAGTAAAGTTACCAATGTTTTAGCATGTACACAGAAACAATACCATGGGTTCAAGTAACTATCTTGTGTACAGCTAATAACAAAAATGACATTCTTGCATAAGACCTCCATTTGGACAACTAAAATCCAGACCTTCCGCTCACATATCTCACTGTGACACACTTGACATTTTAGGGCTTCGGTAGTCCTATGTTACAGTCAACTGTTTTCTTGATATCTGTTGGCTCTGTGTGTCATAGGAGTGAACCCCTTGTTTATGCGTTTAAGGTAAACAAGTATTTTTAATTTGAAGTTTTCATTTTGAAACTTACCCGATTATTAATATCCCAAAAAGTCACCAAGTACGTGAGCTCTGAATAAACATCTCTGACCCAAGGAAGAAACTCCACAGATGGGAATGCAGGATGGTAAATATCAACCATGATTTCATCACTGTGCCTGGAGAGATTCAGTTTTGGTGGTCCTATTTTTCCTGCAACACATTGCACCCTTGCTATTAGGCCAAAGCTTTTAACATAAAATACATTATTTATAGTTAACTTGACAAAATTCATCACAGATTTGAGAAGAATTACATGGTTATTTCAATGCTGTTAATATCGCGTAGCTGTGACACTTGGAAGTAACAGAGGCATTTGGATACATTCATGAATCTGCTTCTAAAATGGAAACAGAGATTGTCCGTGCAGAATTTCACTGTTAAGCAATCCAACTTTCCTATACACATAAGGCCATAAAAACTCAGCTCACTGACAACAGGAAAAAAAACAACAAAGCAATTAAACATATATATGCAAATGAGAACAGAACACAAAATACTGCTGACTAGATCCCACCATAAATCATGCTCAGCTAAAAACAATACTGTACTGGAACAAAGGCTATCTGAAAATCTAAACAAATCTCACCCTGAGCAACAGTACTTAAGAAGCCTGATTTCCAATGGCAATGGCCTACGAGAGTTTTTGGTGTCTAATAATCTGACCGAACACATGAGCTTCTTGTTCAACGGGAAAACAATTTTGCCTCTCTCCTCCATACCTGGCTATCAGTTTCCTGCAAACTCTCAAACTCAGCATTATTACCATGACTTCTGTCCCTCTGTCAAACACTGGAAACCAGCCACTGATTCCATGTCACGGGAGTGCTGGCTGGGGAGGGGATCATAGTGGAAAACAAAGAGGGACTCACTTCTTCAGCTCCAGCAATGCAGAAATCCAGCTATAGATACAGCACAGCCCAAGTCAGGGAGAATCTCACGGGCAATGTCCTGCCTGAAAGCTATACGTCGAGAATGAAGCAAGTACAAGAGGAAGTCTCTCAGTCTTTCCTCACTCTCTTGTGTCTGCTTTGCACTGCCCATGCAATGCTGGGACCTGCCCTGCTGTTTTGGACAGGTTGGCCTAGAGTCTAGACACCCAATTTACCTTTACAATATGGATGCCAAAAACGGATTTCTCCTGAAGCAGCCCAGAGGATTTACATGAAGAATGAGTAACTGCTAGATATCCAGCTACAGTGGACTCCCATAGCTTCTAGATAGTATCTAGACACTCAAAGCTATCAGTACGTGGGACTATAGTGTCAAGCAAGGCATCACCAACCACCTGAATGCTCCTTCAATGATGCCAAAAGGTCCACAGCTTCCAGTGGCAGTTTCCTACCCCAAACTGGTGTCTGGGACACCAGGCAATAATATGGGAAGGATGCACGGAATGCACCGTCAGCATCACTTTCTTGCCTTTAGAAGTTTTGAAAATATTCAGATACCACAGTGACAGGGCTAACAAGTCCCTGCAGAAGCAGAACTACAGAAGTTCCTACTGAACAACCATCATGCTTCATTTCACCCTCCGCTCCTAACTTCATGATATTCCCAAATGAGACACAATTATACAGCAAAAAGGATAATTACAACTTTTTACATTTTGGGAAAAAAATTACAGGGTTTAGTTTATGATGGAACTTACCATGCTTTTGCAAAATAAACTCATTTGTCTCAACATACTCAGACTGCTGTGACCCAACAACAGCTTTAATTCGAAGCCAGTGAGAGACAAAAGGATCATGTATTTCCCTTGAGAGATCACAAAAACGAGCTGAAATGTTCACACAAGTTGAGACGACCTTATAGTAACCTATGCTGTAAAACAGATCAAGTAATAGTTAATACAATTTCAATTGTATTGAAACATATTGCACAATGCAATGCCTGTGACAAAACGTCTGTGAGGGTGACTGAGCACTGGCACAGGTTGCCCAGGGGGTTGTGCAGTCTCCATCCCTGGAGATATTCAAAAGCCATCTGGACATGGTCCTGGGCAACTGGGTCTAGGTGATTCTGCTGGAGCAGGGGGGTTGGACCACGTGACCTCCAGAGGTCCCTGCCAACCTCAACCATCCTGTTACTTGACAAATTTTGCCTTAATTTACACTTAGGCAACCTTCACCCTACACTACTTCACCACACAGAAACAAAAGAATTTACCATCGACTGATTGCTTTCATATGCTTCTAGAGAGTATCAGACATAGGAAATGACAAAAAGAACTTACTTGTAAGGTTTGACTTCCACAATAAAATGAGGAGTTTCAGACATAGGTGGGTACTGCCAATGCAAGAAAGTTTTGAAATTTTCAGATGTTACTACAATCTGCGTTGGTGAAGGCACTAGAAGAAACAGAACAATGGCACTTTGATAAATGGACCTAGTCAAACATAAGAACAGCCAAACACATTTCTAAATTGTTTGGAAAAGGCAATACACTAGAAAATACACTGGAAAAATTAGACATAAAAATTGCAAATACTTCTCTCCAAATGGACTAGTTTGTCACCAGTATGAACACATATGAGCACTGCAAGCTGATTTATTATTCTTCTCTCCTGAGAGACAGCTTGCTTCTTGTTTGCAACCCAGAACCTCAGATGACCCATGCCCCTTGAAAGCAAGTCCATCAGATAGCCCATACTGGGTTCATAAGCTGTGATGATCATACCCCTCTGTTGGTATTATACGGCTATACCAGCAAGACAGACAGTATGAATTTACTGAAGTTAGAGGAGATTAGCCCAGCTCCTGTAGCTTTCTCTTGCTCTTCAGAAACTAAATCGGGATGCGGGGGGTGGGGGGGCACATGGGGGAGAGGGGATGCGAAGGCTGCAGTACTAGGGTCTACGCTCCAGGGGAGTCCTACTGAATCCTACTGCCTCCTGACTCAGCCTTGCCAAAAGGCAACAGGCCTGCTAGGGAAAGCCTGGATTCCAATGGAATTTCTGACAATGCCGTTTTTACCACTCCAGCAGTCTTTTTAGGAAGCTGCAATGATTACAATAAACTACGAACATTTGTAAGCAATTTGAACACTGAAGCTGTACTGTAGTTCCATATACAGGAAGGCATTTGAAGCACATTTAGTGAACAACATGAGAGGTAACCTAGTCAGCGGTACAAAAATTAAAAGCAGCATTGGTAGTTTCCTCGTACAGTAAGCTTCTGTTCTAAGCACCAACAGCGCCAGGGATATCGGGGGAGCAGCTGCAGGGGAAGGAAAATTACATGATCCTGTAATTATTGAAGGCTGTTGCATGGGCATTCACAGGGAGAAAAAGTGAAGGTCACTCAACCAATTTTACTTGTTACTTCTTAGCTTCTCAATGTCTGGGTTGGCACCCTTCTTCTCTTAATACAGCTTTTGTGAAATGGTGACAGGTAACTCATAGTTGACCTGCTCTAGACTGCTGCTTGTTCACAAAGCAAGTGCTCCAACTTCACTCTGATATATTGAGGGAAAGTAAGCAATTTTCACAACTTGAGAACAAGACCACAAAGATAACACTCTACAGAAAGTAATGCACAGAGGCTGAGATATGCTATTAACCACAAAGATTTGACACACGTAACATACATCACTCTGCAACTGGTGCTGTGGTTTAGTTATACTTTAATATGTACAAAAGGGGTATTTCAGTTATTGGAAAAAAGGAACACAATCACCAAATTCTCAACCACAAGGAAAAAAAAAGGTGACAAGTTGACAGAAAAGGTGTCAAAGCACACAAATGTTACTTCAAATATTTAGTTTTAAGGCACAGTGTAGTAAGTCATACAAAATTTCACTTTTGTGTACTATTATACAAATAAAGATACGCTTAAACAAAAGAGTGGCAAATGAAATTCCAGAACATATTTGAACCGCCAGTAGAAGCTACATGGCTTTCAGTTATGCAATTACATACCACTTTCCTTACTCCCCCCCTCATTCTTCCTCCCATCCCCACATTTTTGTTTTCTTTTGTACAGAGACAGAGTTGCTACTCTGGACTTCAGGAGAGCAAATTTTAAGCTGCTCAGGGAGCTACTTAGCAGTGTCCCCTGGGAATCTGCTTTTGAGGGCTTAATGGTTCCATGAGTGCTAGTCACTTGGAGGAAAAAGAAATTGTATGATCTCTGGAAGCAAGGTCAGGCTTCGCAGGAAGATTAAGAGTCATGGCTTGCCAGGAGAAGGCACAAAAGGCCAAAGCTGAACTCGAGTTGAAACTGGCCAGTGTTGTTTCAGATAACCAGAAGGGCTTTTTAAAGTACATTAATAGCAATAGAAGGTCTAAGAAAAACGTTGAACCAATACTTGTTGAAGATGGTCACCTGACTAATAGGGATGAAGAAAAAGCAGAGGCAATGTTTTGGGGGTTTTTTTGTTTGTTTGTTTGTTCCCCTTCCCACCCTGTCTTTAATAATATTCATAGACCTTGGGATGCCCAGTCCTCTGAGTCAGAGGACCCCGAGTGCAGGAACAGTGACTTACCATTTGTGGACACTGAACTTGTAAGGGGCCAGCTGTATCAGCTGAATGTTCCCCAGTCCATGGGACCTGACAGAGTTCACCCCAGAGCACTGAAGAAGCTAGCAGATGTTACAGTATGACCCCTCTCCATCTAATCTACCAAAGGTCTGGGGAGGTTCATGCTGACTGGAAGGTAGGCAACACTATTCCAATTTACAAGAAGGGCGTGAGGGAAGACCCAGGAAACCACAGACCTGTTGGTCTAACCTCAGTGCCTGGAAAAATTATGGAGAAGATCACACTGGGTGCTACTGAAAGACATTTAAAGAACAATACAGTCATCAGGCACAGGCGACATGGGTTCACAAAGGGAAAGTCCTGTTCAACTAATTTAATATCCTTCTACAATAACGTCACCTGCCTAGTGGATGAAGGGTAGGCGGTGGATGTAGTGGTTCTGGATTTTAGGAAGGCTTTTGATACTGTCCCTCACAGGACTCTTCTGCACAAATTGTCCAACTGTGAGGTGAGCAGGTACCTGGTGCTCTGGGTGAAGAACTGGCTGAACAGCAGGGCTCAAAGGCTTGTAGTGAAGGGGGCTACATCTGGGCGGTGACCGGTCACCAGCAGTGTTCCTCAAGGCTCAATTCTAGGTTCTGTTCTGTTCTATATTTTTACCAATGTTCTGGATGCAGGAGTCGAATGCACCATTAGCAAATTTGCCAATAATACTAAACTGGGAGGTGCTGTTGACTCCCTCAAGGCACGAGAGGCCTTGCAGAGGGATCTAGATAGACTGAATCATTGGGCAATGACTAATGGGATGAAATGTACCGAGTCCAAATGCCAGATTCTACACCTGGGACAGAGTAATGCCGGGCACAAGTATAAACTGGGAGAGGAGTGGCACCAGAATGTAATATTCTGAAGTACTTGTGAATGCTGAGCAACCAACTAGAACTAAAAAAAAAAAAAAAATAAAAAAAAAATCTACCAAGCCACTCCTCCACAGCTCCATGAAAGACTACTCAACCTAATTCTCCACTCTTCCACCCAGAGGTGATTTTTAATGCGCCCCAGCTCTGCCACTAAAAAGGAACTAGCAGAAAACAAGCTTTCCTCATGAAAAGACAGCTTTCTTCACAAACTATACTGTCATATAAACCACCCTGCCAGTCACCAGGAATGTCACCACCACCGTGTCAAAATCTCCAATGGCACTACAAGTTGGCCTTGATCACTTACAGGAATAAGTTTACACATACCATCAGCTCATCCTTTTCATCCTCACTTTTAACAGCTTTGTTTTCAGTGATCAAGTTAGTCAAGTACCTACCTCCCTCTCTGATCCATATCCTCAAGACAGACCTGAAGGACACCTTTCAGCACCAGCCAAGAAGCTAAAAGTCACAACTCTACTTACAAACAAAAGCCAGTAAAGAAACAGGTTTATAGCACACCTCCTCTCACCTCATTAACCTCTCCATGTTTCACAGGCCAAGAATTGTCTCCCTCTTTTTCTAAGAGATGACACCTTATTACTCCTTCTGCCACTTCCCTTATTCTCTACAGGAACCAGACATCTTCTCCCTCAAGTGGTCTAATGGATATATCTCAAAACGGGCATGGAAAATGGATCAGCTTGTCATCACCCAAGGAAAGTCTACTTTTAACGCCTTGGTCAGACAATTCTAGTCCCCTTTTCCAGGTTTGTTATCTCCCCTCCATGCCCCTCCCCAGCCAATCAAATGGTCTTCACTGTCCAGCTCACAGCCCCTTTACTCAGGCTGGCTATCTGGCTTCTCATGGTTTCTCCTCCAGCCACTGCACAGGCAGAGCCTTGGGACACCCCAGCCTCATTTCATTCCAGCATCAAGACTACGGACCACAGAGAACGTTGCAGATTTTCAAAGTGCTAACGTCTAATCCTCATAGATACTATTTCTGCATATTACCAGTTAAAATCCCATAACACTTTATGTGAACACTGCTTTACTTAATCCATAATGAAGCATTAATTCTTTAAACTTGTTACACCCTGTTCTACATTGTTCATGAGGCAGAACTGGAGGAAGATCATAGTGGCTAGTACCACAATGCTAATCTTTTAAACAGAAACCCCCTTCTGATTTGTAATAAATGTAAATGCAGCAACACTTAAGGTGCAAATTCAAACAGTGACAAACTAAGCGTGGAAAAAGTGAGAAGAAAATTGTTCAGCAATTCACGTTGGGATGCACGATTGTCATGGTTTAGCCCCAGCCAGCAACTAAGCACCAGCAGCCACTCACTCACTCCCCCTGCCCCGGTGGGATGGGGGAGAGAATTGAGTAAGACTGAGAAAACTCCTGGGTTGAGATAAGAACAGTTTAATAATTGAAATACAGTAAAACAGTAATAACAACAATATCATAATAAGAGTAATAATAATATTCAAAGCAAGCGATGCACAATGCAATTGCTCACCACCCACCAAGTGATACCCA